TACCTGTGACTTTATTTTGAAAAAAGTTTTTAATTAAATTTAAACATTTAAGAGACACAAATGCATGTACAATAAAAAGGAAAACTTATGTAAAAATAGGTTTTAAACCTAACATTTAAATTGTGTTAAAATTTATTGGAACTAAGCTGGAAAACTAAATACGAAGGTCAACATGAGGTTAAGTTATTTTTTGATTTGGTGCATTTTAAATGTATTTATTTATTTAGTGGTTCATTTCTATATTTCTGCTTTTATTTCTAATTATGTCAGTTTTGGTCCTCCATACTGCAGAACTTGGAAGAGGTAATTCAGTGCCTGAATCAGGGGTGTTGGAGGAGGGAAAAATATAAAACATGTAGGACCAGGATTGCCCAACCCTGCACTAAAAAATGTAAAACTTTTGTTTTGTATGTTTATTCCCTCTGCTGGACATGTCAGGCACCGTGTGTGTTAGCATGTTGCATCTTTAGCAGCTAAAATTTGATCCTAGAGCATCAAAAATAAATAAACTAACAGATCATGACATTTGGAGGTTTTCTGTCAACAGAACAGCTTCAGAATTACAGAAGAGAAAATACATTCATGTGTTCATCAGTTTTTCCTGCCAGTGAATTAAAACTAAAACCTCTTTGGTGAATTTTGATTTGAAGTTAAAAGAAAACAAGTTCTTTGTTTTGTTCCCGGTGCAGTGCTCTCCAAAGGTCAGGTAAACACCAGCCACTACCGCTTCCTGGCCAACAGCGGCGGCTACGTGTGGGCGGAGACTCAGGCAACGATCCTCTACAACAACAAGACGTCTCAGCCTGAAGCCATCGTCTGCCTCAACTTCATCCTCAGGTGTTGTAAGGAGCAGGAAGTCAGAGCTGTGACCCGAGGGGACGGAGTGAGAACCTTTCTGTTTCGCTTCGCAGTGCCGTGGAGCAGCCGGACGTGGTTTTCTCCGCTGAGCAGACCCGCTGCAGCTGCCCAGCTAAGACTGAGCTCCTCTCACCGGACCACGCACCGGAGGACAGCGGCATCTCCACCTGCGAGTCCGACGGCGAGCACGCCGCCGGTTTCAGTGAACCTGAAGACCTGGAGCTCGGCAGCCCCATCAAGATCTTCCTGAAGCTGGAGGAGAATCCAGACGAGCTCCTGCAGCTGGCTCCTGACGCCGCCGAGCCGCTGGCAGCGAGTGAGGAAGACTCGTGTCGTCTCTCGTTTCTAAAAACACCACTGATAGAAACTAAACATCCTGTCTTTGTGCCTCAGGTCCAGCTGAGCTGTCGTTTGCCAGTCCTCCCAGTCCTTCCTTGGTGCCAGAGGATCCTAAAGACCTCTGCACTCCAGAGCTGAGGAAGCTCCTCTCACCCATCTTCGACTCCATCAGCCCCTCATCTTCCTCCTGCCCAGAAGCAGCTCTGGTAAATACAAAACTGAAGAACCATTTTAAAGGGCCTGTCACATCAGATTTTTGTTATACATATTAATGCATTTTTAGAAAGAGGACATTGATAAGATATTGCAAAATAAATTTCATGTTGCTTAGATGAACAGTTGTTGAGATATTTGCCTGTGAAGTAACAGGAAGTGATGTCAAAGGGGAATGTCTGCGTGTGAACAGCGTGTTGCTACAACAGCCAAAAACAGACTGTAGAGAAAAATCTGATGTTTCTTTAGATTATTTTGAGTCACTATCAGAGAGATGAAGAAGAGTTAAAGTTTAAATAATATTGTTTCAATAAACAAAAACCAGAGAGTTTATTGTTAAAGAGTTCCCCTTTGATGTCACTTCCTGTTTCACTTCACAATATAAAGACGTTTTCTTTGACTTTGTATTTGAAGAATATGCATGTCACAGGCACTTTAAAGCTGTGAAGGTTGCAGGTTCAAATTCCTTGTTTTGTATCAGAGCCCAGGTAAGCAGGAGGAGGTGATGGACACCAGCGAGGTGGAGAAGTTCTTCACGTTTTGTCCAGAAGTGGCTCAGAAGAAACCAGAAACACTGCAGGTAGGAAGCAGAAAAATCCCTCTTATTGCTCCGATAATGAATAAATATAATTAATTACTAAACGGATGCCACCTGCCTCGGCTCAGGACATGGAGGAGATGGACCTGGAGATGTTGGCTCCTTACATCTCCATGGACGATGACTTCCAGCTGACATTCCTCAGCGCTCTGCCCGAGGATGCCGACAAGCCGCCGTCCTTCTCGTTTGAGAGCTCAGACATGGCTTCTGCAGTGACCGCCAGCAGAAAACGGTGAGTCAGTCCACGACCTAAACTGAACATTTATAACAGGATTTTCAAAATAAAACTTGAACTAAAAATGAAAGTAAAAGCAAGCTACTGTGCAGAAAGATACACAACTTTCTCCAGATAATTGACCCAGTTAATGGTCGTGTTTCTGGTTCAGAACTCGAGACTCTGATGATCAGATTCAGGACAAGAGGCAGAAACCAGAACCGTCCTCCATCGAAGAGGAGCTCCTCCTCAGCCAAAGACTGCTGGTGGGTTTCCAGAACTCTGACAGTCCCTTTATTTAAAGAGTAAATGCACACACCTGTTCTTCTCTCTCACCTGTCATAATCTGGGTTCTCAGGACTCTCTTGAGGGAGCCGACCAGTCAGACCTGATTCTGGACCCGAAGCCATGCAGCCAGCTGCTCACAGATAGAGACCCGGTTCTGGGAGGCGTTCAGGGACTGTGCGACACTGCAGGTAAATTAAAACAGCCTCAGTCTGTGGTGCCCTCTAGTGGTCAGAATTAAAACCTGCAGCTCCTCGGATCTTTAAATCCTGCTTCCTGCAGTGAAACTAAAACCTTGTTGGTGCTTTAAGTCTGGTTCGGTCTCTGCTAACAGAGCTTTTAGTTTCTGAGCTGCAGCTAGTTGGCAGACAGAAGAAGCTTGAATTTCAAACACGTGCAACAAATTTTCTCTCAAAATAGTCGTCGGGGACGTCTCGTATTTTGACACCTGCATGAGAGCTCCCCTCTAACTGAAAACACTCAGAGGCTGCAGCCCCGAATGACCTGAGCAACAATTAAAAATCAGATAAAATCATAAATATGAAGATGGCTGCAGAAATGTGTGTAAAATGTGTGTAAAATAAATAGTTTACACTATGCTAAAGTGTTTTTTTTTTGTCTCCTGCAGCTCTGATGGACATGTTCGCGCCTCGCACCGCCAACCTCTCACCTTTGACCTGAAACAGCTTGAGGATGGCTCCGCCTCCAACAACAACTTAAAACGCACACTTTGAAAGAAAGTAATAATTAATAAATAAACAATTAAATAAATAAATAAAAAAACAACCAAGCCACAAACCTGTACGCACAAGACGTTGTCGTCACTCGTGCCGTCCGATCAGACCCGGTACCGTAGCCGAGCGGGTCGGCCTTGAATGTTTTTTTATTTTAAGTCTCACTGCGACCTGAGCTGGGCACCGCAGACCCGTCACTCACCTGTCGTCAGTGATTTAATGTGAGCAATCTGCAGGTGGTGCTAATCCTGTTTTGTTTTTTACATTCATCTGAAAGAAGTCAGACGATCCGGAACACGATTCTTAGTGCAGCTAAATTAAACACCAAAAATCCATCAAAACAAACAATAAATCTCACTTTTTATTTTATCCAAATGACACAAAAACCATGCGAGTACCAGTGGCATGTTTTAGGACTTTTTATACTCATTTTTTACTGTTGATGTGTTCGACTTTAAATGTCTTTATTCAGAAATCCTGGTTCAGCTCTCGCTGCTTTCATCTTCCATGTGGGCGGGGCTTATTTTAACACTCCCTTTAAGTTGAAGCAATCACAGCAAATTAATCTCATCAAAACAACGCAGCTTCACTTTTTATGATTAAATATATAATTGACTAACTTGATGTACTTAAGCCAATATTAGCTTTAAAAAAAATTAAGTAGTCGGCATATTAATGCTTGTTAGAAATGTGATTAAACTCTAGTATTCTACCTTTTTTTTTGCTTTGATTTGTAACAGATTATACCTCAGACTGATGATGGGTTAGTGTTTTAATGAAAAGATGTGAAGCTTTTTGTTTTTACACAAACGAACCAAATCAAGAATAAATACTGCCGGGTTGTTAATTTCCCACGTGCTCAGAGCTCTGTGCCTTCTCATCATGCAGTGGAAAATAAAAACATTTGTTTAGACTGTTACCTTCACATTAAAAAAGTTCTGTAAATGTTTATTTTCTCTGAACAGGGAGCGGATTAAATACTGTGGTTTTATTCAATCTTTACAGTTTGTCTTGTATGTACTCTTGAACTAAATAAAGTTGTAAAACTGAACATTTGTCTATTTTCTTTAATGTTTGATCACAAAACTATTTGCAGCTGAACATTTGTTTTGATAAACAATATTTAACATATTTTTTTCTTAGTATAAAGTAATATGGAATAAGTATTTTACATAAAATGGCTTTAAATCGAGTAATTTTACAGATACTGAACTGAAATTTGGTATGGTAGTAGCTAAGAGTCAAACTTTAACACATGAATGGAAATCCTGTAATGCCACAAACACGTTACTTTATGTAAACGTATTTTATTTGTTTATGCATTTATTGAGTTAAAATTAGGTTTTGACAGGTGAAAAAACATACTTTATGTGCTTAAATCATGTGAGTTTGTGGCACCACAAGCCTTCCACAAATACTTAATATTAAATTGATCTTAGTCTGATCTGGGGATAAAACATTTCTTTAAGCTGGGATTTTAAATATTTTACCATTTTAGACCTTTTAATTTCAGACATTTTTGTTCAGTAACAAGTTAAATATATTAATTATTTTAGGCATACATATTAAGCCAGAATGTTTAATAAAAAATATTACTCCTGCAAGTAAACAATAACCTCAATGTTTGTTTGACTGAAGATGGATTTAAAGTTTTACCTTTTTGCAGTTTCTCTTCCACCAGTTGAAGAAGTCCTGGCTGAGCGAAAACCTCTCCACACTAAAACAAACAAAACATTAATTAATTTAAAAGTTAAACCTTGAATTGAACTTCAAACATTAAGAAGTACACCAGTAATTACTTCCTTAATTAAAATCATAAACAGTTAATCAGAACAAGTTATCAGCAAAATCTCACAACCTGCTCTCAGCGGAGATGAGGATCAGCCTCGGCCACTACCGCTCCAAATTTTAAATTAATATCTGACTGAGTTATTGTCATTTTTCTTTTTTTAAGGTCAGCTGACTGTGGCGGCCGTCTTGAATCAAGTTTACTTCAAAATTTAATCATCTGTAAACATTCATCTAATGATTAATTACTGCAAGTTTTAATGAAATTGATCCATTGGTTCATAAGATATTGTGCTAACACACACCAACAAGGACATTATGGGACCTATAAATGCCAATTAACCTGTTGTGGTGGCAACGTAATAAATAACTTTTTATCATATTTTATTGGATTAATAAAAAGTCAGTGGGTGTTTTTATATTAAAACATCAGCAAACGTTCCTCAACCTTCCTCCAAACCAAAACAGAAAACTGTAAAACTTCCATCAGACTGTTCATGTGTTCACATGATGATGATGATGATGATGATGACAAAGAGCAGGAAACAGCTGGTTTTAAACCCTTCATTCCGTCCAATTATGACTAAACATGAACTAACCACGTTTGCACAACGACACGCCGGTGAACGTGTTGTCACTTCTGGTAACTTTTCTGTTTCCAACTTGAGTAACTCAAACAGCTTCCAGGAGGTGACGGCAGCTGATGTTCGAGCGTGAGAGAAAAAAAAATTAAGCTAAAAATAAAAAGAACATCTCTGAGCAGCAGTAGGGTGGCGTCATTTGAGTTAAACCGTCTCTGTGTTCCCAGGAAAAGTTTCTTCAGCAGCTGACAGAAAACAGATTTCCTCTTCTTGAATCATTTCTCTGTTTTAGCTGCTGCAGCAGTTTTTAAACAGGACTGACTCTAAAAGATTATCCAGTTAAAGATGCATGTCCAATGACCACTCCCTGAATGTTTCGATACAATCTGCCCAGTGGTTCATGAAATAGTTGGCTAACAGACACTGCTGCCCTCTCCTTCATCTGCAGCTGGTAAACTACAACAATGAGCAGAAAACTGAGGCTATTTTTGAGCGTTTTGAGTGAAAACATCACCGGGGAATCCAGTTTTGAGTTCACACTGAGAAATTTTACGAATGAACAGAGTGAGATCCAATCTGACAGTAAATATTGCTAAACCTGAAACATTATGCTTCTGGTCAAACTAAAAATAAAATTTAAAAAAATCCAATGAGGATTCCCACCGAAGCAGGAAGTTTGAGGGTTTTTTTTTTGTTTTTTTTTTACCCTGAATGTTAAAATAACTCCTCTTTCAGAGAAATCCACTTCAGGACCTGCTGTTAAAACCTTTGTTTGGGGGTAAATATAACAACAACAAAAAAAGAAGCTAAAAATAAACCCAGTTTAAAAACACTCAAGACTTTAAAATTAAATACATGATTTGTCTGTGCTTGAATAATTTACATTTGTACAGTTTTCCATAAACGAAGTTTAGAATCTATGGCAATTTGCTAAGCCAATTGGTAAGCTACGCTAATTAGCTTAGCAAAGCTAATCAACCATAGCAAACACAAAAATGGCTACAACCCAGTCCTTTTTGCATATATGTATCTAATATTTGGTGTGGTAGTAGCTGAGAGTCGTTTCCAACTCAGTGTATAGTCAAAGTTGATCAGATCTGGACCGAATTGACACTGCCAGCCAAGTGTTTTTACCTCAGCAGGTTTTCAGGACACACAGCATTACTGGGATTAATAATAATTTGTTTTCTACCCTGAAATTATTTAAAATTACGTCTAATGTGTTGAATTAGAGCTACTACAAAGTCAACTTAAAGAACAGTCAGCCATAATGGATAAATACAAACAAGTTTTATAATACAGACATATTTAACCCTCAGTGAGGATGAATATGTTTGATGTTAGGCCTAGCGGGCGCTAACGGATGTTAGCATCCGCTAGCTAATGACAACAAAAGTTTAATAACCCAAAGTAACTTTGTAGTACAAAATAAAGTTATTAACAAAACTAATCAGGTTAAACATATTCTTAAAAGTAGTTTTTAACGGTCTTACCTAATTAGATCCTAAAGCAGAGGTCCAGTCAGAGCTGCTTGTTAGTCAACTTCCGGTTAAAGATGGCGGACTGAGGCCGAGGCGGCTAATCTTAAATTCTATTAATCTATGAAACATAAGAACAGAGTGGTTATTTATTGCTATTTTTATTTTACTGTGTGGGATGTTTCATTCAAATAATTTATTTTTAAAATGTTAAATATGTACAAGACCTTTTTAAAGTAAAAGCTGTGTTTCAGTATAAACTGAAACAACAAAATATTAAATATTTCTGTAAAGGTCATGACCTCACAATGTGTTCAGCTGCTGCTGCAACGTCTTAAAAACCCTTCTTGTTATCAAATCTGAATTTACCGTTTTACTAAATCTGAACAGGAAGTGACACGTGTTCCTTCATATTCTTCAGATGTTCCTGATTTGTTCTGAGAGTGAAGATTTCAAAATCACTTCACTATCAACATAACCCATGACATCATTTAACTGTGTGAACTGACCTTCATCAGCAGGAGGAGAAAATCAGATCTGAAAAATCCTCCTCGGGGATCTTTATCTGGGGATTTCAGGGGTTTTTTTTAAAGTTTTTCTAGTGAAACATTTAAAAAATTTTGAATAAACTAATTTTTTTTCCTACTACGCTGAAACTAACAGGTGTAACCAAAAAGCGACCATGGGTCCCCAACAGGTGGACTGAGGTCCATATTCAGATCCAAATGGTGCCCAATTTGGGCCCAGATCTGTTCTTAAATTTGAGTACAATTAAGTATTTTACATATTATATTTATTTATTTTATGCAGAGCAGCTTTTCTAGTATTTAAGACAAATTTCCAGGTCTAGACTTTCACCACAGAAAGATCTAACCCAAAGACTCCATTACTAATGTGGCTGTGAAAGTAAATGAGTCTGATTTTGACTAAATCTTTACATAATAAACTCAAACATTTAAAAATGATTAATAATGATGTTTCACACAAAATACCAGGGTATGATAAAAACACTTAAACATTTATTTACCTTAAAACTCTGTGCAATAATACAAATAATCATCTGTAAATATTACAATCCATATATTAGTTACAATTTGTGGCCATAAAATAAAATATTAAATACATTCAAAGTCTGTCAAGGCATCGCTGCAATAATAATTAAAATATTAACAAAATAAAAAGGAGCCCTGCAGATGAGGACAAACAATCAAAGCTTATAAATCAAAACAGCTTCAGGTTATTTCAGAGAGTTTTAGCACTTTGTGGAAAAAAAACGTGGATTATTTTAATATAAAAACACTCATTAGTCTCCAGTGATTGACTGCCTTTAAATCAAATAAAAATATAAGTTCACTTCTCTCGTCACTGATTGGACATAATAACAGATTTTTTTGTTAAATTTCTACATTTGCTTTACAGATAATTTCCTTAAATAACTTTCCGCGCACAGAGAATCTAAACACAAACGCTGTGCAAAAGTCTTAGACACCAGAGGAAACAGGCACGTTTCTGTAACAGCAAGCAGCCGAAGCCTCGACGAGCCCAGTCACTGAGGGGAGCAGAGGACAAACGTCTCTAAATGTCAATAAATTAATTCTGACCTTGTTAAAAAAAGAAAAAAAAAGCTAAAATGAGCGGACAGCGGAGATGTGTTCGTGCAAATTACATCCACCTCGTGTCGCCTACATTCATTCACACAACAATCAAAAGTTCATTTATTTTAAAAAAAGCACGTCAGTCCTCAGCCAGAGGGCTCTGTGAGCCAATCAGAGCTGCTCTTTCGTCTCAGCCGGCGAGTGATTGGTCCTGACGCCGAGGAGGCAGGAAAAAGTGCAGACAGTCCAGGAGTCCGCTCAGTTCAGCCGTGAACCCCGGGAATCCCAAATCAAGTGTCCTTGTCGTCCGAGACGGAGATGTGGAGACGTGTCCCCTCATTGAGACGGTCTCTGGGACGGGACGACTGCACCTCTTCGTACGGGGGAGGGGGGTTCTCAGAGCTGGGACCCGACCGGGACAGGAGGGGGCGCAGGGTGCCGTCCGGCTGGTTGTCCGGAGCCTCCTGGGCCAGGAGGAGCTGCGTGGGTCCGGGGCTGGAGCAGGGCGGGATCCTCTGGCCCCAGCTGCCGTAAACCGCCTCCTCGTAGGACGGAAGGGAGACGGGAAGTCCGTCCACCATCAGGTCCAACTGGTCCGAAGACCGACGGCCACTGGGAAGAAAAGAGGGCTTTGAGTGATCATCGGGACAAAGAGACAAAGTCTTAGAATTTATGGACAGAATCGGATTTAAAATTGAGGACCATCGAGGACTGGTCTCACTCAGACCCTTGGTTCTTAAAGCCGGCCAGATGAGAAACACCAAGCTGGAGATCTTGAGATAATGATGGGTACAGTTTTGCTAACCCACTAATAGCAGAACTAGCTTCTCTTTTAGCAGATTTGTTTTTTTTTTTTTTTTTTTTTTTTTTGCTAACTTTGGACAAGTACCCCTGGCTGCAGAATGCAAAAAGGGGCGGGGTCAGGTCAGCGTCAGACCCATACCATATTTGGTAATGGCACCATTGCACTCCAGAAATGAAGGGGGCGCTATTTCCTATACTAGCCATGGTATTTTTTTAAAAAACTGAGGCAATAAATCTACAATTAAATTATTGTAGGTTATTTATTATCCAAACATTTTAAACAAAACATATTGAAACAAAAAATGTACGGTTATTCTGTTTTCATTTCATACTCGTTAGGCATTAGCGGAGCTAATTTGCTAACCTAGGCATTAGCTCCACTAACGCTTAGGTTAGCGGATTAGCTGTTAGTGAAGCTAACTTTTCGGTTAGTTGGGGATTTTATTTATTTATTTGGTGTTTTTCAGCTTCTCCTTACCCGGGTGATTGACAGGGGTAGAGGCGGGACTTGATGACCAGGCAGGCAGTGGTGGTGAGCAGGAAGATGGACACGCCCACCGCCGTGGTGGCCATGCTGGGCATCGAGTCGTCGTCGCTGGACTTCATGTTGGGACCGTCTGAAGGGAAAGAAAAAAATAATCAAGTTTAAAAACATTCAAGTTTTTTCTCCTAATATTTCACATCTTTTTGATGTTTTGATATTATTTCAAATTTCCTATTATGTCAGAGATTCTTCAACCTGATTCTGATTTCATCCAGCTCCAGTTGTTTTAAACTCATTTGGTTAGTTTTCAGTTTTGTTTGGATAAAAAAAAAAAAAAAACGCCCCTCTGAGCTAAAATAAAACTTTTAATGTTTCAGTGTTGCAGTTAAAATTATTGAATGAAGTCAGCCCTCATCAGTGTGGGGAAATTTTAAAAAAAAGTGCTTTCAGGATCCGGATCAGAACCGAATCTCCTAATCGGACCCCAAATCTAGTTTTTATTTGTTTTTTTATCTGGATCGGTTTCCATCTGCTCAGACGACACAGAGGAAATATCTCTGCTGGTTATTGTGGAGGCTTTACCCACTTCCTCTTTCTGTGCTGCAGCTTCCTGTTGCAGCACGTTTGACTGAGTGGTGACAGAGGAAGCAGGGACTGGTCTGAGGAGGGAGAAGTTTCTGGTTCCTGTGCAGAAAGTGTCTGAGCGGATCTGGTAAATAGGTCAAAAGATGCTGGTGGTGAAGCTGCAGGAAGCAGAAGTTGCTCCTATGGGTTGCAGAGTTAGAGCTACTGATGCTGCCGTCAGTAAGATAAAACCAGAAATTGTCACTTAAAAAAAATCAGATCTGAAACCACAAACAGCCACGAGGAAGTGAAGTTATTGTGCAAGAAGGAAAACATAATAAATCTAATGTCCACATTTACAGTGTGTTAATGGTGAAAAGCAGCAATAAAATCAGTCTTAAAACATATACTGAGAAACGCTGCGCTGGTCGGAGCTGCTAAGGAAATATTACGTAATGTTTAGAAACATCAAATCCAGCAAGAAATAACTGAAATATTTAGGTTTGTTTCCTTTTGTTCTGAGCTGTGTATTATTTTGCTGATTAAGTGCAATATTAAAAGCGAATCTGGTCTGCATTTCTGCCTTTTTTTTTTTGTTTGTTTGTTTTTTGAATTTCTACTTTTTGGGGAATTGAATGATGGAATTATGCTAACAGACCTTTCTTTCTTCCTTTGCAAACCTTTTGAGTATAAAGTTGATGGAATCCAAACAAAAACTGAAAAAAATATTAGTAAATTCAGGTCGTCTGACATCAATCAGGCTCATATTTTTTATTCTGCTCACCATCAATCAGATGGAAATGTTTTTAGGTGAAGTTTCAGTTTGAATAGAGACATTTAAAATTTGTCAGCAGCATCTGAAACAGAAAAATGAAAATATCTACTTTCAACCCTCAGTTTTATCTCAAATATGACGCAAAAATCGAGCAAAACTCCCTTTTTTGCAAAGGGGTGCCTCAAGGATGTGGGTTTGGTACCCTTTCCTTTACAATCAAACCCACCTTTTTGGGTTCTGACGATACTCAGCTGAGCTGACTCAAACTTTCCACAGAGGAGGAACCATCAACGTTAAAGCAACTCATCCTTTGAAGCTGAACCTTTTGAGTTCTAACAAAACCTGTTTTCTAACATTTGTACCTTTGATGCATTTGGGGATGGGCGGGCTCCACCTGCCGCGATGACACCTGGAGACGGGCGTCACCTTGTTGCTGATGTGGTACCCGGGCTCACAGAAGAAACGGATCAAGCTCTTGTGAGAAAAACCACGGCAGGGAGACGGGTCGCAGCGGAACCCTCCATGTTCCGGTACCAGAGGGTGGGAGCAGTTACTCAGTCTGCCTGCAGACACACAAAAGCATGCGGTTTAAATCAGTTCAGTTACTGCTCCCAGGGAACTCTGGGTAATATTTTACCTGATTTAAACTTCCCTCAAGGTTTGTTTGTTCCTCTTATGGCTTAAAAACCAAACATAAACAGAGAGGATAAACATTCTACAGGAGATTTTCTCTCAGGTTTTCCAGTAGCAGAAACTGGCAGATTAAGAAGTTTCTGAGGTTGAAGCAGAACTTTCTTTATTTTTTTCCCCAACAAGTCAAGATTCTCAGCGTACACAAAAACACAAACGTGGCCAAAATAAGTCACAAAGAAGTGAACGATTTTAATGAAACTACCAGAAAGCAATCATTGAACAACTGAGGGGCATTTGAGGTCAACCAGGTTAAAGAAATAAATGAGACTACAAATCAGTTAAAAGTACAGATTTTAAACTTAAAATTCTTGTGGTAGTAGCTGATGGTTATTGTAAACATATACTGTGAGCACTGAAACATTGTGCAACAGCTTATGGCAGAAGACATCAAAACAAAACAGAAATAAAAATAATAACAACAAAAGTGCTCATTAACCACTCTGCCTTTTTATGCCTCAGTTTTAAGCAAAGATCTCATGTGACCTGTTAGCACTCAAATTATATGATGGAGAAGACTCTCAGCTACTATTACACCAAATTTTAGCTCAATGTCTGTAAAAGGGACAGAGTTATAGCAATAAAGGTAAATAA